GCTGGCTTGGAATATTGTAGAAATATAGGTAGCTTCCTCTGATGCTATGAATTCATCTATCTTCGACTCCTTCCAATGAATGGAGATCGATTCGTTGTGTCATTATATGAAAAGAAAACACATCATTTTCAAATTTTCGTCGTCGCACCCGCGATACACAACCAACCAACCTTCCCGGTGGAATGAACAAATGTTCAAGTTTACCGATCCTCCCATGGAAATACCAATCAATGTTTACCAATGTCAACGTTGTTCATTTCCTTCGTACCTCCACGTGTGGTGTACGACGACGACATACATACATACCGATACACTGCTGTATGCTGTATACCCATACAGTAGAGCTAACATGCCAGCAACCTGGCATGATTGCAGAGGTGAAAGTTGCCCCGGAATCAATCGCTGGCACTCATCAACGACCCTAGGTTGCGAGTCATCGCACCCCTCCTCCTGTGCGGTGACTACAACAACAGTAGACTTCACCGGGTTTTTGGTATTATTGGCATTTACGTAAGCATGACTCCGGAACCAGGTTATCTGTGCAGAATTCGAATCAAATCATTTAGCCATTTGATTTTTCATCGCACAGGGGTGCCATGGCTCGCAACCGTACGGAATACCGGTATCTGTCGCTTTGAACTTCAGCACCGTTCGACAAAAAAAACTCCATCGAAAAGAACATGTGTTTTGAAACAAATCTTGAAATATTCTTGGGGCAGCTACGGTTGGTTGAGGGACTTACGCATACTAGCGTCGAGTCTACTGCTGTGGTTGTCCTTGTTTATACTAAGGAAACGTGGCGGTTGTCGTGCGTCTGAGTCAGTTTGGCCCGTAACGATGTTCGACCGGGCCGGTTTTTGATGACAGCATCATCACCCGGAGAGGAGACCGGCAGTCGCAGTAGAAAATACCTGCGCACTAATTTGGACACTAAATACTAAGTACTTGCTGTTTGGAGTACGGTGGGGGTCCCTGTTTAATATAGTGCCAATGCCCGGCATACTGCCGGTGTTTTCGATGGGAACACATTTCTACTGAATTTCCAAGTCATTGTCAGTACTTTAAATAGTGCCGGTCCGGTGTAGTGCCGTTGAATCTTCTGGGCACATACCGGCACTAAATAGGGACCCCCGCTGAACTTCAAAGTTCAAAGTTCGAAGTATAAATGCTTCAACATGTACTTCGTAGTCCACACCGACTGCATGCAATCAATGCATAATATCTGAACGGTTAATGTTGTCCTTTTTACAGCATTAAGATAGAACAGAACGTCACAACCACTAAATAGCAGCTGGCTAGCGGCCGTGCACTGCTGTCCTGCTGCCTGTTGTTTTTGTTGTCTTCACATTAAAAACCGTTCCGTTCTCTCTGCCCGTACCTCTGTCCGTACTATAGTAGTATAACACTTGACGTGGTCGATTCCCGTGGTCACAGGCTGTGCTTCTATTATTTGTCTGCAAAATCGCAACGAATATTAATCCCCACAGGAGGAGCAAAAAAGTAAATTAATTTACATATGTGGTCGCGGGAGAAATAGGCTATTCTGTAGTCTCACGACTAACGAGAAATTCGGTGTTGCTTGCGATCTGTATTGTGCCAAGCAGGCCGCGAAACTGCACCTTTCGTGTTCCGGTTTGCTACAATGGTATGCATAGGCATTTGCTACAATAGTCTTGTTGCGTTGGGGGCAGTTTATTACCCGCCCACGCCTGTTTTTTTACACGGACGGGTAGATACTAGGCTTGTGCCTAATGTACATACAGAAACATGAT